TTCTATGTATCTGTTTTTGTTCTAGTACTATACTGATTTTATTATTATGGCCTTATAATATAGTTTGAAGGTTGGGCCTGTAAATGGTGCTGAGAAAACTGGACTGTCATATGCAAAAGAATGAAACTAGACTATCTCACACTGTACACAAAGATCGACTCAAAGTGGATAAAAGACTTGGATGTAAGACCAGAAACCATGAAATATATAGAGGAAAACATAGGCAAAACACTCCATGACATAAGCTTCAGAAACATCTTTAAGGGCACATCTCTAGAAGCATGCAAAACAAAGGAGAATATAAACTAGGACTACATAAAATTAAAAAGCTTCTATATAACAAAAATAGCAACCAACACAAAGAGACACCCTACTGAATGGGAGAAAATTTTTGCACACCATACAACTGATAAGGGACAGATATCAAAGATCTACAAAGAGCTCACACAACTCAACAAAAGCAAAGCACACAAACCAATCAAAAAACGAGCAGAAGAGCTAAATACACTTTTCCAAAAAAGAAATTGGCAAATGGCCAATGGGCATATGAAAAAATGTTCAACATCACTTATTAGGGAAATGCAAATCAAAACCACAATGAGATACTACCTCACAACTGTGAGAATGGCCCATAAAAATAAACAAAAACAAACAAAAAATGCTGGTGAGGAAAACAACATTGCTAGTGGGAACACAAATTGATCCAGCCACTATGGAGAGATGCATGAAAGTTCCTCAAAAACACTAAAAATGGATCTACCCTAAGGACCCAGTGATTCCACTCCTAGGAATCTACCCATAGGACACAAAAACACTAATCCAAAAGGAAACCTGCACCCCTATGTTTATTGCGGCACTATTTACGATAGCTAAGATGTGGAAACAACCTAAATGCCCCCCAAAAGATGAATGGACAAGAATATGTGGTCTATATACACAATGGAATCCTACTCAGTGATCAAGAAAGACAAACTAATACCATTTACAGCAACATGAACAGACCAGGGAGGGATTATGCTATACAAAATAAGTCCGAAGGAAAAAGATCTATATTGAATGGTTTCACTTAAATGGGGAGTATAGAGAAACCAAACAAAGGATCAGAAAAACCACAAAACCTGCAAGCTGACCATAGATTTGAGGCAAACAGCAAGGCAGTAGGAGATATGGATAAGGGTCAAATAGGGGAGGGACGAGCATAAGGAACTGTGGTGATGAATCATAGTGTTGTGGGAGAACTACAGGATGAGGGGAGAAATCAAATACTGTCTAAAAATTAACCATGATGTAAGAAAAAAGCTACAAAAAACAAAAATGAAATTCTTAACCACTCTATCACATTGATTCTCAGATTTTAGTGTGGTAAGAACCACTTGGAGGCTTATAAATAATGAACATTTCTGGTCATGTCTCCATAGATACTGATCTGTATGGTCTGGGATAAAGGAAACTGCATTTCTATCAAACATTGCAAGTGATTCTCATGAAGGTGACTCAAGGAACACAATTTGAGAAACACTGCCCTGCACTCTGTTGGCTGCCATTTGAAAACAGAGTGGACTTAGTTCCACTAAGACATATATTATCTCTTCAAATTAAAAATTCAAAATAGACTGTGTAATTTCTTATTGTGATAAAATACATATTCAATTAAGGAAAAGCAAACAATTTGATTAAATGAAAAGTAATGCATCTTAATTAAATAAGATGTATTTTCATTCTGAAGAAAAGAAGCATTCTTAGTAATTTTTCCATGTAAAGGTCAATGTGTCATTTTCTCAAAGCCCACAGGGATTGCAATAAAAGGTGACAAGCCCCCAGCAGAAGTGTATGAGTTAAGAATATGAAAACACTCCTTTTTTATAGCTTAGATAAACAACTCCACACACAACTTTTCTTCCTATCTAAGGTCTAGAATGGCAAAAACAATAAGGAAACTGAGCATTTTAGGAAAACACCAAGAAAAGTAAACATTTCAGAAAGAAAATACATACAGGAAAATGATGATTATAAATTATTCAACTAATAAATCAACAAAGGAACCACATTTCATGCTGTGACACAAAGCACAAAGTTAGTAGTCATTGTTTTAGGGCTATACAGGCAGCCAATCTGGATAATTTAAGTATATAAAGTCCAATTATCAATCAAATAGGTTAGGGCGCTTCTTGGCCCTCAAACTGTGGATGCTTAAGGCTATACTGGCATTGCTGACATGAAATAATTAATCTATTCTCTGCCATATGTGATCTCACCCCAGCAGGGTACACAACATTGTTTGTCAACCTTTTTACTCATTTTTAGTTGACTTCCTACCCTGTTTATCTTAACAGCTATTCTGAATTTTCCCCCATTTTGTTCTAGTTCCCAAATCCCTCAAGGCCCTCACTTTCCATATATAAGCTAGCTTTTTATCTTGACCATCTATGAATTCTCGATATTTCCCTTCCTTCCACATTAAGATTTCTTAATATCAAACATCTTTTCACAGATACTTAAGATAAAGAAAATCTTAACTTTTTTCTAAGGCTAACTCCACCAGCTGAGTCTCATCTGGTCATACATGCTATTTCTCTTAGGATCTTGTTCCATTTCTGGCAAACATCTATTAGTTACCTACAACATTTCAGGCATTGTGTTAGGAGCTGGTGACAAAAAAGAAGGGACTCCACTTTGAAGCAACTTACAACACAGTGTGGAGACAGACATTACAGTGGTGAGCTCAGGTACTATGGGACTGGGGCATAGGGCAACTTCAGTTTATGTAGCTGGGGGGAGAAGGGGCTTTACCTAGGAAACCTTGACTCAGGAAGGCACGACGTGGCTAAGCAACTGTAAGTATTCCACCTTCAGAGGGAAAAGTCCCATGAATTGGGGGGAAAGGAAACTCAAGCATTTAGATTAAATGCTGCAATGAGCCATTCAAGTGTTGCTACCATATGTGTGGGTTAAAAGTTCACTCTGAAAACTGTGGTAGAGGATTTAGAAGAAAGCAAAATCTGAGACCAGTAGTCCCAAAAGCAAGACAGTTCCGCAATCTAAGTAGGATACTGACTGGAGCAATAGTGATAGAGATACAGAAGTATGATGGATTAAAAAATACATTTAGGTGGTAATATTACGGGACATACTAAATTAGATATCAGGAATAAGAAAGAGAGAAGAATGCAGACCGTGTTCTAGATTTCTGGCACTGTTGGTTAACTAAGGGTTGTGTCATTTGGTGGGCAATGATTGGGCACCCAAGGGGATATGCCTCATGGATAACTGGATGTGGGGGTATTGAGCTCAGAGATACTGACTTGGCATCAAAAGTGTAGGCAGGCCAGGTAGTTGTGGGCAAGAGTATCTAGGGAAGATATGGAAGTGTGAGAAAGGAGTGAGAAAGGACCATTTAGGGAAATAACAGCTAAAATCGAAGATCTTCTAAAGACCACGAGAACAGGCTAGAACGTTGGAGAGTAGGATGGCATCACAGAACTTAAAGCAAAAGTCGTTCAGAAGAGAAAGTAAACAACTGTCAAATGCTTCAGAGGAGAGTGCAAGGAGAGCCTAAAAAGTGCCTCCCTGGATTTAGGGAGATTTCTCTTTCCAATTGATTCTTTTCCCTGCCTTTGTCCCTTGCTTATATCTTCCTACGATTAATAATATTTGATAAATACATAAAAACGTGTCTGTTGAACCAGCTGATTCCCAGTACATTCTCCTTCCCTTAATCATGGACTGTCATTTGGCTACCACCACACTGAAAATTTCTACTTAAAATTTGCCAGTGACATCCTTTTCTTCCATTACTCACATTTTAAATGCCAACTCCTGTGACCTTTCTGTATGTTCTCTGATCTTTTAATGTCTTTTTACAATATTAACTCTTCTTTTTACAGTATCCATAGGTTATTTCACCATGGACTTGGCTCTTCTCAGTTCTCTGAAGATACCTTTTCAGGATCCCTCAAGGACTCCCTATTCTTGGTTCACCTTTAAATAAAATTGCCCCAGCAAGATTTGATTTTTAGTTCTTTCCTTTATGACATTCTCATATCTACACCCACCCCCCCACCCCACCCAATTCTCAACCCCCAGGGCATTATCACTAGTCACTAATGTATAGAGGATTTCCAAATATATCTTGACCTAGATTTTCAAGTGGAGAGCTATGTACAGAAGTCCTTCCAAAGTCAACATGCCCAAATCTAAACCTGCCTCCTTTACATCCCTACCTCCCCCAAATAGTTACCCATTTTCCTGTCCTTTGGCTAATGCCCTTTTCACTTCTTTCAATTCCCAAGAGTAATAAGCCTTCAATGTGAACTATGGATTATCTCTCTCTAGTCTTCATTTTCACATTTTCCCTCTGTTATGCAAAACTAATAGAACAGGAAATCTAGGCATAATACAAATCTGCAATGTTTCATTCCCCATCATAAATTACTAACAACAATCAACATTCATCTAGTTTTCACCTTGTACTAGGAGCTATTCTGAACACATCACATATTTTCCTTTCACTGTTTTCCCTTCTATGAATTTAGAAGCAAATACGAAATTTTTTTGTACATCAGTTTGAATTTTGTAATCAGATTCCTGGGTGATAAAAAATTGAGCATTGTGTAGTGAAGGTTAGCTCATTTTGACACCAAAATTCTATTAGCAGGCATTTACAAATATCTAAAATATAACTACAGTTCTGATAATGACAGCCCAAAGCACAGTTAAATTCTGAAATACCTCCTGAGTTTCAATAAAGATAAAATATGCTTCATAAAGCTAGGTGCTCACAAATTCTCATTCTTTCAAAAGAAATGGTAATCTCTAAGTTGTGCACCGCTTGGGGGTGATGGACAGATCACTATATCTTTCTTGGGAGTGTGAGGTTTGTTTCTAGTTCTTTAAATGCTACCAAACCCCAAGGATTAGTACTTAGTCTGTTTCTCTTTGGAATCCCACACATACACATTCATTATCACATCTTGATGAATAACAGAATATGTTACACTTACCTCAAAAATCCAATTTTTGCAGAAACCTGCAAATCAGCAGAACAATTTTCATAGGCACAAAATCTTGCAAAGTTTACCTGGAAATAAAATATGATAAAATTTGCATCTTAATCAGTAGGGATATGTTTCTATGTTTTTAATTTTTTTAATTAAGGTAACATTAGTTTTCAACATGGCATATGATTCAGAAATACAGCATCCCACCTCTTCAAGTGTATGTCACCACACCACAACCATCACCAAGAAAAAGACATTCATAAACACACAAGGGAAAATGAAATTAATTTTATTCTACCTCACCTGAAAAGTTCAATTTGAGAATTAGTAGGTTTAAATGGCAAGTAATTGCATGACTAAAGAAACTAAATTCTTCCAACAGGCAAATGTAAAGCCTAGATTTGATAAGCAGAAATATGGTCGCTTTTCACAACTATTATGAAAGAAAAATTAAGCTTAAACAAACTGTGACAGTACCTTGCGCAAGTGTTTAAAACCTGTGTTGCTAGGCTTTTCTTTGTCAGGTTCCTCTCAATTTAAAATTTTCTGTGGTGGCAGCAATTTGACCCCATTTGTTACAGATAAGCATGACACTTAATTTTCACAGATGGTAGGACATTGCTTTTGTATTTGTTGAAAATAAAATGTAGACATTTTTCAGGACACATTGAATAAAATTAGGTATATCATGAAGGTTCCAGATGTTGTTTAATTCTGGGTATTTTAATAGAACCCAGAGATACTCTGCATACCACATGGAAAGACCCAAGGAATAAGCTGGATGAAAGAAAAAAACAGAAATAGAGACAAATTAAGGCAGTTGAGAGGAAAATGTGAAAGAGATGCCGCAGAAAGAGAAAGTCAGAGAAGGAGTAGGTACACAAGATGGGAAATGACTAGACTGTGCACAACACGCCACAGACAGCCTCCACCAGGGGAGCAGAGGCAAGGTAGAAACCCTTCTCTAAATGATTAAGTAAACACGACTTTTTCCTACCACTCTTATTTGTAACAAATGTCATTTAAGAATCAAAATATAGATTATCCTTAACGTAACTATAATACTTACAATATTGAGATTTTCGTTACTAAAGACTTTTTAAAACAGTTGATATTGAAAACTGAAGCTCAACAGAAGAGCGAAAAAAACTGACTTCCATAAATATTTTCACAGAAGGATAGAGAAAAAACTTGCATTTAAGATATCACCTTCATTAGACCTCTGATGTCTTACAGTGACTGAGGGACAATTTTGTTTGGGCAAGAGATGAGCTAGACTTTTAAATCTTCCTTTCATCTTTCACATTCTGCATGCCACTAGCAAATACTCTGATACTTTGAACAAAAGCTTCCACCATGCCCCAAATATCTAGTTGAACATGTTTTTGCATTGTTGGACAGTAAAGGTCAAGACAACTGCATCTTGGGCATAATACACACTGTCAGGGAAATGGTCAGAAAAAGCAGTTTACTGGTTAGAATAGAGGATCCTCTGAATATGCAGGACATGGGTGAAAAGCAGAGTTAACTTTTAGAATAAAAAACTGTTGTGTAAGAGAAAAACGTTTACAAATGAGTAAAACCCAGAAAGGAAAACTGACTAACAAATTATGCGTGAATCCATGGCTAGAATGAGTGAGATAAAATCGGGAGGGTGGGATGGAAAATGAGAATAAGGATCAACTGGACACACATGAGGACACCAGCCAGCTGACCCATGAACACAACTCACTTCCACCCCATGTGCTCCATTGTCATGTACTTTCTCCCCTGCAAGGCACCCAGGAAAGAAGCGAGCATTTATGTGTATGGGAAGCCATGGCTATGACTGTGTATTTTTAAATATTCAATTCAATATCCTAAGGGAGATGTAAAAAATAAGTAAAGAACAAACAAGACAACAAACCATAAATCTTTTTACATAATCAACCCATTCATAAAACATTTGAAGTGAATCTAAGCTCATTTCCCCAGAATTATAAAATACTAAAAAATTCTTTAATTGTATATCACAATGTTTTGAAGAAAAGGGAAATATGCTTACTGTTTTTTCAATCTTGTCTTTTTCTTTCTTCCGCTGAAGAATTGGCTGAAGAGGCGGGAATTCATCTGTGCTTCGTTTACTGATGACGTGATGCCCAAGGTGATAAGCAGCTTCAATCTGAATTGGGGTGAGGATGTCCCGCACATCTTTCTACATAAATTTCAAACCATAAAAATTAATAATGACAACAAGCATGTCCATAAAAACATATAGAATGCTCATCTTTTTTTCTGCAGTCTAAGACCAAACAACACATGGAAGTCAAAGAAAAATCTTACCTTTTAATCTAAACTGTTTCAAAAAACTTGTATATTTTTTCACATTATAAAAGCATTCCTATTTATTATGAAAAACACAAAAATAACACCATCTAAAAATAGTTAGATCTACATGTGGGCATATTTTCTTCCATACTGTTTCTATGCATACTTTTTATAACTTGACATTATAACATAAGCATTTTCCATTATAAACTCTTCACAAATAATTTTAAAGTGTCAATCAACATTTTATTCTATTTAATATTTCCCTGTAGCAGACTTGTAGAAACATGAAATTGCTTTATTTGAGTTTTCTTTAAATGCCTCTCAGTAACATTTTGATTCAAATTGATTCATATTAATTATGAAGCTTTTTTTTCTATTCTTTATGGACCTTTTTCAACTTATATTTTCTAAGACTTTATGAATAATATAAAGGGAAACTAATTGTTTTGTGTATTTAATCTTTTATCCTAGTACTTTACTATATTATATTAGTTGCTACAGTTTTTCTGTTTATTATGCTTTTATTCTTCACAAAGATGGTTCTTCAATGTATCAGTTACACAGGATTTATAACTTGTTTGGAATCCATTTTACTCAATAATTTTACTTACTAATTTTTATACCTGGTTCCTCATTCTTAATCTCATTTATATATAGTCAAAGTTAGTTCCGAATGATTAGTTTTTTTTTTTCATTTATTGTCTACTGCCCCTAAATTTATTACTCTGTCAAACCACATTTTTATTCTTTATTTCTACATGCAGGAATTATTTTTATCTTTTAAAAACATTTCCCCAAGAACTTAAAAATTATGTTTTCATGTGATTACTTACTATCCTCCTCATTAAAGGGAATATATTACATCACTATCAAAATTATTAACATACATAGTACAAATAGAATTATAACCAACAAGAGAGCAACTTTGAAAGCATTTGGCATCCTGTTAAGGAAACACTTTCACTAGATAGTAAAGGTGTTCTAGTATCTCAATCCCACGAAGATACATGGAAGTCAGGGAAGACATAAAATATGGTATCTTGGAGAAAGCGTTTATCCAAGATGTCCTTATCATAGAAAGGAGATTTTAAAAGTATATTAAAATAGCTTCCCTTTTTTCTCCTTATCATGGAAGAGGGTGGGCAAATCATATCTTACTAACAAAGCAATTCATGAGGATTTATTATAAAATTCAACTACAATTATATTGTAAGAAGTAAGACATGTTGATGGCACATCTATAAAACAAATATCTCAGGCATAACAAAAATTAAAAGTGAAAATGATGTCAGGACTTGAAAGGCAGAACTATTAGTAGATATAGTCCACCCACACAGGAATTATGCAGTTTTTTTGATATTCGAATTATTACTATACTCAGAAGGTACCTGAAGAATTGGTCACACACTTTAAAGCATTTCATACTAACAAGTTCAACACAAAGTTCGGTTTTACCCTACTCTTGATAATGTGCATTTCAATCTACAAGTACTTCTTGTTTAAATAAACAGATTTACAAAGAGCTACTTTACTATTAAAGAAGAGACTTCTGTGTTTTCACCAGGACTAGACATATTAACAAACCATAATTGAAGTTTATATTTATGCATGATGAGTTTCTCAGTAAATCTATGACATGACAATTGACAGACCTCCTAGGGAGTAATGTCAGTGGACCAGGTTTCTATTTAAAGACATGTCAGGATTGGGATACAGCTTACACATTACCGTCTCAAAGCAAATAAAGAACAGCTTTCTAAATTTCATCAATTAATAGTCCCTCATGAATAGAAAAAAATACTTGTCATGCAGACAACTGTTATACTACTTCATCTATGGCAACCTTTGCCAAAATCAATGAAGTAAATAAAGATGACACATAGCTCATAAAAGGCTGCATCTATTCTATGTCTTTACATAATTATAAAAAAGGATGTACTCTTCCATATCACAATATTATCAATATTGTCAATATTATCAATATTATCAATATACAATGGTTAAAAGCAAGTAGAATGGAGGTAAAGTTCTTGGGTTCAAATCTCAGATTCAGCACTTATTATCTTTGCAACCTTCGGCAAAATGCATAGCCTGACTCAATTACATCTGCTGAAAATGGGAGTAACAATGATGATGGTTTTGATACTGACACATTATTGTTGTGGAGATTCAACAGTACATAAATCACTTAGCACAATGCCTGACACTTAGTAAGGACATTAGACATGATATTCAAATGCATGTAATTTCAAAACGTAGCTATGTAAGCCAACCAAGGAATAACTGAATTTTAGTTTCTTATATAGATTTCCTTCATTATTCAAAAATTAGAGAATGCCTATTAAGTATGATTTGGTAGATTATTTTTGGGGTGTGAGGATGCTGTTACTGTTTATATTGCACATGCCCAGAAACAAAAAGTAACCTACCAAATCATACTTTAATTTTGGATAGCATGCTTTAATTTTGGATAGCAGAGGAAACCTGTGATAGAAATTCTCATGGACCTCCCTGGTGGTGCAAGGGGTTAACCACCGCACTATGCAATAGCAGCCAGCCAGGGAGCAACCCATATGGTGCAGCAGACCTCTCCTGACTCGCCCACTGCTCCCCTCAGCAGTGTATTTCAGTCAGTCAGTCTGCCTGTTCTGTTCCCCACTCTGTCTCTGGTGAGTCCTCTCACTCCCCGCATCTCTGGCCTGTACCCCAGCTCTTGCATACATAAATAAATCTTAAAAAAAAAAAGAAATTATCATGAACATTTAAAAGGAATAAGAAAAAAAAAGACTACTGTCAACCACGGAATATTAAATAAAATATAAATTACATATAGAGTATTAGACTTGTCTTAAGTGGTAGGAACCTGAAGATTTGGAGCATGAAACAGAATACTCAAGATCATTCATTAACTTTACATACTTATATAAGGAGATTGTTAAATTACTTGATAAGTGATCGTCTCAACACGAAACCTTGACCATAAAGGAATGTTGCAAATCAAGGCCCAAATCCCAAGTTATCAACTTGTGAAAACGGAACAGCTTGAAGCCCTGAGTATTACAATAGCAAACTTGATTAAATTATTCCCTAGGTGTAGGAGCTAGACAGCCACTGATTGTCCCTCCACATGTCCACTGTTTTAATTCTTCTCAACAAGCTTGCTTTGACCAAATCACATGTTATCTAATTCATACTAATTTTCCACAAGGTCTTCTCTACATCTGGTGTATATTACTTTCATTATCCTAATTAGCTATTAATTATGCTTTTCTCACAATATATAAAATGTATGTGCACTCTTGCAAGAACTGTATTTGACAGATATTCACACTTATTTAACTTTAACAGCTCCACCTAAGGACAAAAGCTATAATATCAAAAATGTCTTAAAGTGACTAATTAAGTGTTTGGAAGGAAAAAGTAGATTTGCTTAAAATTTTTAATTTGGATGGGCATGTGCTATCTATATTAAAAATAATGACGATTCCATGCCACATTTTTATGGACAATTACATAAAATAGGGTACCCACAAGCATGCAAATTAGCAGAGGCCTGAAATTTCACAAAGTCTGTCTTGTTGACTTTGATGGAAATTTGTATTTATGGCCAACTTGAGAAATGAAATGCAGGCCCATATCATCTTACTATGTTTACATAGTGAAGAAATTTATTTAAAGGGTGAAGCCAGGAAATACTTATAAAATATTCTTGAATGAAAGAATGATGGTATAAACATTTGAAGATATCTACTCATAGACCTACTGTGTACTAGGCAGGCTCTGGGGATACAAAACTGAAAGTTACTATCTATGAATTATAGACACTGCCTATAACCCATAAATCCACAATGTTTTGGGGGATATACTTGAGTAAAAATATGCAAATAGTACAGAAGAAGGCAGGCCATTTAATCTGTGCTTGAAAGAGGATGTGAAGATTCTTGTATAGAATAATTTTAATCAAGGTATATGTTAAGACTTATGTTTTTGTGCCATACGGGGAATGGTTTGGTGAGGTATAAGGTTAAAAGTATCTCCTCTATCCCAAATGTGTAATTAAAAGAGAAGGACTTAATAAAAGCTCAAGTTTTACGATGGAATTTGGGTTTAATTGCCAGATTCTCTATCATCAAATACGTTAATGAGTTTTATAAACATAAGTAGGTTTAAAGACTTTCATTTGCATGAGATAATCAAGGAATTGTGAACAAGACTATAAACAAAATTCAATCTTTTCTTCACCTTCAGGTCCCCAATGACTTTTCTATGTAGCAATATTGATGAGATTTTTTTTCCCGCTCATTCTCCTTAATACTCAATTCAGCAATTTGCTGATCCCACTTAGACCTCCAATTCAACATTTTTCCTTTTGTCCTTTACTCTCAATTTGTCCTTTGTCCTTTCTCCTCTCTTTATTCTACTTCAACTTAATGGCAGCAATATAACCACTTGTTTGCATACTCCTTCAATGTTGTTGTCACCTTCCTTAGCAAACCACAGCTCTGGTAACTGTAACTCTTCATTAGCTGTAATTTTCACCTGTAAGGTTAAATGATGGGAAAAAACAACCATACTGAGTAATCTCACTTATGACCATGACAAAAATAGATCATAATTTAGACATATCACAACCAAATTGTACTTCCTGACTCTCTCACTTCCCTAGAAGACTATTACATCTTCCCACACCCCACCTCCCCATCCCTACTCAAGCTAATGCATTTGCTTTGTACATCACTGAGATAGTAAAGCAATCAGAGAGAACTTCTGCAGTACTCCCACCACAGCTACCTAGCATCTGCAAACACATGGAGCTGAACTATGCATGTGCCTACCTATAACATTTAAATATTTAATACAACCCTTGTCTTTAAGAAATATGGT